AATATATATATATATATATATATATATATATATATCATCCAAAATAAAGATAAATATTTAGAAAATTTGATAATACTCACATGATAACATAAGAAATTGAGATTGTATACACCAATATCATCGACACAAATTTTAAAGTAATCGCACATCTAATGATGAAGGCTCAAAAATTGAGGCGTTAGTTTCAGAAGGCATGAACTGAGCCGATTATATGAAAGACCGACAAACTGATCAAGTTCACTCTCAGGAAGCAGGTCAACGGGCATATCTACGTCCTGGTTGTCGAAACTCACTAAAAGCTGGTCTAATGCAACCGACCGACTGACCACTTATACTTCAACAAAAATGATTGTTTTATTAGGCTAAACCAAAACATGTCACCCAACTGATCACCACCATACCCAAAATTTGAATTGTAAAATAGATATAGTACAAAATAAGCATTGAGTGTATTAAGGGTGGCTTCCATAATCGCTCTCTCATTTCTGCAATTTAGAGTGGTTTTCATAACCACTCCCTTCTTTCCGTAATTATACAAAAACACCACTATAAATAAAAGGCAAAAACATGAATAATGGGGCCCCCAGTCTACAGACTTTTCTTGGCTTCTCTACCCGAAACCTGTCAATTACCTCTCTCTCTCTCTCTCTTTGCCTGTCTCTTCCTCCTTCCCTCGGCTCTAACTCTTGAGGAGTATGTTCACAAAAGGTAACTTAGGATTCAACATCCTAAAAGGTGGTGCGGTGAGCGTGAACATACCCCAAACGCATAGCAGAGTCAACAACGAGGAGAAAAGTTGCAGAGAGAAATAACACCAATGGAAATCAATAGAAAGATGGTGTGTCGAGACAGACAAGAAGAGGTCCAAGCATTGCAAGTGCAAATTATAGACCAGTTTAATCTTGTTTGGGTGGCCATGATCTAACAGAACACCCTCCATCGTTCATAAAGAGAGAGTCTCGGAAAACTCACCCTCAAAATGCTCCCTTAGATAGTATGTCAGCACCCCACGGTTGGACCGATAATCGTCCAACCCATAGACGAGGGGATTCCGATCCAATGAGTAGTGCCACATCTACACTAACAGTTTAACATTAGGTTCGCCAAGTGGAAACAGTTGCTCGGTCGGATATAGGTAGCGCCTTCTCCTGAAAAATTTTGGAAGTCATATCTCTAGTGAAGCTTAGGATTCATCGCTTTGATCGCTAAGGGAAGAGTGACCTGGCCAATCACCTCGCTTCTTTCAATCCAACTCTCGGAGTTCTGTAGATCGATGATGCCATGAAGTACCGATTGTTCCTGACCGAGTTGAAAGAAGATGTGCTCTGATACTTTAACATCCAACCACATAGGATCATTCCGTTCTTCTTAAAATTACAAAAGATCTTCCTAGCTCACATTGCTAATATGCTAAAAGTGAGGAAGGATACAAAGACCTTGCTTTAGATTAGGAAGGGAATAAATGAAAGCCTACTGGCTAAAATCACCCATTTCTAAAAGGAAATGCTAGAGGTGAGGAACTTGGAGCCTCTCATAGCCCGAACTTCCCTGAAATGAGGGATCTGTAATAGGTGATTCAGTTATGACCTGAATCTACTGAAACCAAGAAACTTCACAGAGGTCTTGGAGTTGACAAATGACCACATCACCGCTGTAGAACTTTATGGACTCCTTGAAAGTTAAACTAAATCCATCAACATATGAGGTGTAGAAATCAAAGGAATAGATGACGGTGAAAGACAAAGAGCTATCAAACCCCTAACCATCAACTAAAAGGAGAATGTAGGTCCCTTGACAACTGAGGGATCAACCGAGTCAATGGTAGTTAGAGGCACCTTTCTGACCATCGGTCAACCTAATAATATGAGCAACCACATGTGCATCTGGAGATGCAAATTTTGGCACCCGAAACATGTAAATGGCCTAATTATTCGAGGTCATTCAAAATAAAAACTACTTCAAGAAAGCCCCTTCACTAAAGGCTGCACAGGTACTGCCCAATCCGAACAAATATTGTGCATACCATCACAACCACAAGCACGATACAGAGGAGTGACATCATCTCAAAAATCTGATAGAGGAGCTCATCAGGGCCAAAAAGTTGAAGGAGTTCATCGTTTTTGGAGCACACACACAACGACAGGGGTAAACTCCAACAGAGCAGCCCACAGGTGGACCTCTGAGAGCAAATAAAATCCACATTGTTAAAATCATTCTAGCTATCCTCAGCGGAGGTGGAGGGTTACCCCAACCTAATAGCCTCAAGAAGCACAGACTGGGGAGGTATTTTCTGTAACCTCATTCACTCGTACTCGCCCTCCAATTATTTTTACGCTTGCATATCTACCCCAAAAGGGAACCCATAAAACAAGGTGATCATTATCATGGCTCTCACAAACAACTATATGGTGGGTAGCAATTTGGTCGATTCCGAAAGCTCAATCAACATTCTATTCAAAGTAGTGTTCGACAAAATGGAACTCAAAACCGACCAGTTGGCAACACTGTTGACCTCACTTTTGGTTGAGGTCTAGTTTCTTCCTTAGAAGCCTAGGATCTTGCCATAGAACTTTCCTGTTGATTATTCCTAGATGACTAGTGATGACACCCTCACCATTAGAAATTCTAAACTTCTCCTTGCTCATCTTGAAGTTTCACATGTTTGTCCTAACCTCTAGCATTTAGTAGGTAGAGCCAATATGGAGGAGCTCAAGAGAAATCCTCATAGGACTGTTTGGCCTTATGGTTGACCATGGGTGATGTGTTCCTGGTCAGTCTTACACACACATACATTTGATACCGCTCACTTACAACCTTAACCTTAGCCAAATATGCTTTGTGGATCCTATACTTTTTTTGGAAATTCATGTGGATGGTCCCTTGAACCATTAGCCTTAGGCTAGGTTTTGGCTAAAACCAACACATGGAGGATCTAAAGGGGAGTCTCCCTTGGTCTTATGGCTCATGAAGGGTAATTTCATGATTGACATCATATTGAACCCCAATTTTACCTAAATACCCAATTTTAGCTTTTTGCCCCTAAATTTTCCCAAAATTATCAAATTATTCTTGAAACCCTAAAATCCTCCAAATTGCCTAAACTACCCAAATTTGTCCAAAAATTACCTAAAACTCTTTTAAACCATCCAAACTACCCAAAACACCCTAAAATTTTTAAAATTACCAAAATACCCCCAAAATTCCCAAAATTACCAAAATGCCCTTCATACCCAAAAATTTCCCAAAACCTCCAAGATCACTTCAAATGTGTCCAAAACCAATACTTCAAATCTCCCCAAAATCAATTTAACCCACTCCATTGAGCCAAATTTAACCAAATAGATCCATTTTGACCAAAATTCCCAAATTGCCCTAAATGCCTAAATTTCTGAATTCATCCTCAATTTTCACCAAATTGACTTTAATCTCACCTAATTTCAATTCTAAACTCAAATTCATTATATTCAATCCCAATTGAGACTAAAATCAATCCCAATTGAACCCATCTGAAGCATAATTTCAATCCCAATCTCAAAACCCCAATTTTGCCCCAAAATTCAAAGATCTCCCAAATTTAACCTCATGACTCCAAAATTTCTGCCCAATTGATATTCAAAACTCTTCATTACATACCCTTGGACAAATTTGACCCATCAATTGAGCCTAAATAAACCCTAGTCCAATCCAAACCAAAGTCTAACCTAAATGCCCCAAAATTAATAATGGGCAAATTTCCACTAAATTGAACTTCCAAATAAATTCAAAATTACCCAATTCCTTTTCCAAGTTTCTCGTGATGATCATCCAAGCCATTATGACCAATAAATTGAGTCAAAATTAAAATCCAGCCAAACCCAAACTCAAATCCAAGCTCATGACATGGTTTTGAACCCAAGCCTTGAGGTTAACCAAACCCATTCAAATTGACCATGCCATGGTCACCACAGCCAGCTTTTGGACCTTAGGGATGAGGCTAGACCCACCTAGCCCACCCTACATGACTCATGGACCATAGGTCCCTTGTTTTAAGGGATATCTTCCTATATTAGGCTAAACTCAATATATTTTCCATCACCCATCAAACCTTCAGGGATAATCATCATTATGCTCCCCTGGCTCCCCTTACCACTCTAGCCACTAGCCCTGGCCTGATCCGCCGACCTAGTCTTCGGAAAACATCAAAATTGAGGGCCTCCTCAAGGTACGAAGCCAAATTCCACCCATCCATGTTGGCTCATCCCAATTTTTTACTTGCCTCTTTTTCCCCTTCACTTAAGCATCATAGCTCACGCATTGGCTTGGTCAATTGAGCCCTAACTCCCCTTCTATTTAAACCACCCTCCTCCACAGCCAAAGGAGAAGAGTGCTTGAACCTAGGGAAAACTCTAACCAGTTATCTCCAAACCCTTCTAGCAGTTAAGGCA